CAAACCAACCTGTGATCCTTGTCCTCAGGGGCATGTTCGACAACCGCGACGTGGCCGTCAAGAGGATCCTCCCCGAGTGTTTCAGTTTCGCGGACCGTGAGGTCCAGCTGCTTCGGGAATCAGACGAGCACCCCAACGTGATTCGTTACTTCTGCACGGAGAGGGACCGGCAGTTCCAGTACATTGCCATCGAGCTGTGTGCGGCCACCCTGCAGGAGGTGGGTGCCCCCGGGGCCGCTTTGCCTTCGTCCTGCGGCCTCCCTGCTCCTGGAGGCAGGTGGCACGAGAGACTGTGATTTCTTTTCCCTTTATTTCTCTGTATTCACTTTACTCAAGTTACAACACAGCACACTCACGTAAACGAACAGTTGGTGCATGTGACGGGCTCACACCCACGTAACCACAAACAATCCGGTTGGAGAGTATTTTTATCACCTCAGCTTCAGTTGGGTGGGATGGTCTTTGGTTACAGTTAGTATCTCTGTCCCTCTGCCTCCAGGAAACCTGGCAGTTGTTCTCCCCGTGGGTTAGGGCTGCTCTGGGCTTGGAGGATGCTGGTTGAGGAGTCAGGTCATTGAGACCATCCAGCGAACTCCTTTTGCTCAGTCTCCAGGCTCACGTGACACTATGTCAGTATCAGACACCTGCAGGTTTGCCTGTAGGAGGCAGTGAACTTGAGTTCCTTGCCTCTTACCTTTCTCACCGTACACGAGTCAGCTGGAACTTTTAAGTTCGCCTACGGCTGCCAGAGAAAGTCCGTGAGCAAATGTGGATTTGGACATAGAGTGTGGTCAGTACAGCTTCCCGTTTCTTTCTTAAAATAGGATCAGAGAAAATGAGCCAACCTAATCCCAAACATTAATTAAGGCAAAAAGCTGCCCCTCCCCCGTTCATGCTCTGTCTCTCTGTCTCAAAAATAAATAAAACGTTAAAAAAATTAAAAAAAAAAAAAATTAAGGCAAAAAGTTGCAGGCAGGACTTTCCTGAATAAAATTGAATCACTTAGAGAAAAAAAGTGCTGTGTGGAGGGGCCCGTCCCCAAGGGCCGTGTGCGTGACCTGGCTGTCGTGTGTCTCTTGCAGTACGTGGAGCAGAAGGACTTCGCCCACCTCGGCCTGGAGCCCATCACCTTGCTGCAGCAGACCACCTCGGGCCTGGCCCATTTGCACTCCCTCAACATTGGTGAGAAGCTTCCCCTGTATTTACCAGCCGCGGCCGGTGGGGAGCTCCCTTGCTGGGGAGGGGTCCTTGCCTCTGCTGAGAATCTCAGTGTCATCACTGGTGTGCCTGTGGGGTTTTTAGGTGGCCTTTTGAGAATAAGAATTTGAGGAGGAATCTTTCACAGCTGCAAACGAGAAAACCCTTAGAGGTCTGGCGGGCCCACTGGGAGTCCGTGAAGAGTACACTCCCCGCCGCAGGAGGAGGCCCGACGCCACTGGTAAATACCAGACTGATCTGGAGTTTTCTATTAGTTCACAGAGACCTGAAGCCCCACAACATTCTCCTGTCCATGCCCAACGCACATGGCAGGATCAAGGCCATGATCTCTGACTTCGGCCTCTGCAAGAAGCTGGCTGTGGGCAGGCACAGTTTCAGCCGCCGCTCAGGAGTGCCTGGCACAGAAGGCTGGATCGCTCCGGAGATGCTGAGCGAGGACTGTAAGGACAATCCTGTGAGTAGTGGGAGCAGCTCTGGGGAAAACTGCCAGCCTCTTGCATCTTCGGGGACGAGAGCCTCCGCATTCAAGACTTGGGGGCTGCGACGCACGTAGCTGGGACATGACAGTTCTTTATCAAAGAGCTTCTGTGTGAATAGCATGCTGCTGGCGTTTTCCACGTGGTCTCGTGTTCAGACAAGTGAAAGGGGCAAGTGTGGGCAGTTGTCCGTGTCTCCCCGCAACTTTCCAGTCAGTCTCCCGGGACCCTTCAAGGTGGTAGAAGCAACAGCAGCACTCCTGTCCTTGCTGCTTCTCAGTGAGGATGAGAATTTTCCAGAAGCCTCTCACACCCTGCGTCTCTCTTTTCAGACCTACACAGTGGACATCTTCTCTGCGGGCTGTGTCTTTTACTACGTGATATCTGAGGGCAGCCACCCTTTTGGCAAGTCCCTGCAGCGGCAGGCCAACATCCTCCTGGGCGCCTACAGCCTCGACTGCTTACACCCGGAGAAGCACGGTGAGGGGGCGGCAGAGGACGGTCGGGAGCCGCTCCGGCTGACCACGTGGCCCCTGAGCCCTGGGAGGGCGCCAGCCCTGTGCTTCCAGAGGCCCTTCTTTCCATCTGCTGGCCCTGTGGGCCTCAGTGCATCGCTGACTCACTCCAAAGCTGGTAGAAGGTTGGGTTGTCTTTGGAGCATCTCCTCCTGAAAGCACACAGCTCTGAGGTTCCTTCAGGTCCCCCAGTTACCTGTGTGACCCGGGCAAGGACCTCTATTTTCCAGCTTGTGGCTTGTGAGCATTTAATAGTCTCTTCCTGCACTGACATTCAGGACAGTCGTCTGTGCTCCATAAACTCGTGTGCAGGCCGGTGATCAGGGGGTGTGGCTGGGCGGGGGGGGGCGCAGACACCTGGGTCTTGCTCTCTGGGTGCAGGGGCGACAGGTCTTTTTTCCTGACTTCAGCGTTTCCTGTGTTAAAATTGGCCCATGACACCCAGTGCCACCTTTTTAAAAAATGTAAAACTCACTCACTGTTTTGGATTAATTTTTATTATTCCTTGTAGAAAAAACAGATTAGCATAAAAGATCCATAATCCCATTACACAGTGATGAATTCCTGCTGTTAATACTTTTGTATATCTTACTCCAATCATGTATTTAGATAGATATGCATACTTTTGTAAAATAAATAGTACATACTCTTTTTTGGCATGCTTTTTTTTCTTACATGCCTTTATTTTTATTTTGTTCTTTTTTATGGGTAATTGTTATTTTTTAATTTATTGATTTATTTTTAGTTTACATCCAAGTTAGCATATAGTGCAACAATGATTTCAGGGGTAGATTCCTTAATGCCCCTTACTCATTCAGCCCACCCCCCTCCCACAACCCCTCCAGTAACCCTCTGTTTGTTCTCCATATTTAAGAGTCTCTTATGTTTTGTCCCCCTCCCTGTTTTTGTATTATTTTTGCTTCCCCTCCCTTGTGTTCATCTGTTCTGTGTCTTAAAGTCCTCATATAAGTGAAGTTATATGATATTTGTTTTTCTCTATTTCGCTTAGCATAATACCTTCTAGTTCCATCCACGTGGTTGCAAATGGAAAGCTTTGATGCTTTTTGATTGTCGAGTAATAACTCCATTGTGTATATATATATACCACATCTTCTTTATCCATCCACCCATCGATGGACATTTGGGCTCTTTCCATACTTTGGCTATTGTTGATAGTTGGCATGCCTGTTTTTAGCATCATCTTGAATATCTCTCCAAGTTGATAGGTATTCCACCAGGGCATCATTTTTTTTTTTTGACTTTTTTTTTTTTTTTTTTTTTTTTTTTTTTTTTTTTTTTTTTTTTTTTATTGTTTATTTATTTTTGAGAGAGAGCGGGAGACAGAGAATCCGAAGCAGGCTTCAGGCTCTGAGCTGTCAGCACAGAGCCTGACACAGGGCTCAAACTCATGAACCATGAGATCGTGACCTGAGCCGAAGTCAGACCCTCAACCGACTGAGCCACCCAGATACCCCTTACCAGGGCATCGTTCTAATAGCACAGCCCAGTACGTGGAGGCAGTGTTACCAAAGCCTCCGACAGTGGGTATTTCCAATTACTTCTTTTCACAGACTGTGGTGAGGACTCCCCTTATCAGCTGAAGCTTGTGCAAGTTCTTAATTATGCTATTGGAGTGAGGTTGTGTCAGTAGAATCTTGAATCAAAAGGCACATGCACCGTTAAGGTTTGAGTATTTCATGGTGGCTGTGGGCTGGTGATAATCAGTTACTTGTTTATTTTCCTCCTCTGTAGAAGACGTCATTGCCCGGGAATTAATAGAGAAGATGATCGCAATGGATCCTCAGAAACGCCCCTCTGCGAAGCATGTGCTGAAGCACCCGTTCTTCTGGAGCCTGGAAAAGCAGCTCCAGTTCTTCCAGGTACATCTCTTGTTTGTGGTTTGTTTGTTATCAAAAGTCTTCATTTAACTTCTTCCAGATTTTGAAAGTACAGCAAAAGGCAAAAAATAATAAAAATAAAATAAAATAAAATAAAGTGAAGTGAAGTGAAAATGAAATGAAATGAAATGAAATGAAATGAAATGAAATGAAATGAAATGAAATGAAATGAAATAACAAAAAACAAATGGCTCCTAATCCCATAACCAAGAGATAACCATGGTCGACATTTTAACATACTTTTTTTATATAGATAAAAATGTGATTAGGATCAAACCGTATATACAATTTTGTATCTTCTTTTTTTTTACAGTACATAATATTTTAATATAGTATTTTATTACAGTATTAATAGTACTGTATTAATATGATCTTTAATGTAGAATTTCAACAGAATCTTTCTCCATGTTAAAGTTCTAAAACTTTAATGACTCTAGTGCTCTGTCATATACTATATTCTGGGAACTTTCAAATACACACAAAAGTGGAGGGAATACTATAATGAACTCCCATTTACCCATCAGCTAGCTCCGGCAATTACTACCTGAACCTCTGCTCTCTGTCCACCACTCTCCACCCGATTACTTCGAAGCAAATCATAGGCATCGTATTTCATTCAAGTCTCATAAATCTAAACGTTTACTTACATTGGGCTCTTTCTGTCCTTTTTAACTCAGTCTTTGCCCAGATCTCTTTGCTTAAGGTGGATTCTGAGATGTTAAACTGTAGGATCAGTAGCTGTGAGCTCCTTCAGTGGTTTGGCTGTATGAAGGCTTTGTAGTTGAGCCTTCTGAGGTCAGATCAGCATGGCTCAATCCAGACACATCCTACCCAGCACACCAGCTCTGAGAAGCAGGCACACGCAGGCAGTGCTTTTCCTCCTGGGCCTGGATCGGAGGGGAGCTTGGGTTTAGGAGTGATCATCAAAGTGTCCTGGAGTCTGACTAGAGCTTTGGTTCTGGTGTAACTCCCAACACGTAAGCCCCTTGAGGGCAGGAGTGGTTGGTTTCTGGATTCGTTGCTGTGTCCCCACTGCCCAGGACATAGCCTGGCACATGGCAGATGCTTAGTCACTGTTTGGATGGATTGGGAAGGGGAGAGTTTCGTGCCCTTCTCCATGGCAGCAGTGAGTGTGGTAACATCAGGCTGGTTCTCTGTGTTGCACAGGTCATGAATTTCGAGTTCTGAGGTCACTTGTCCTGCAGGGACTTCTGAAAACTAGCCAGGTTCCTTTGATGATGATCAGATGTAGGGCAGGAATAAAGCTCACAGAAAGGGACCTCCACCCCTCTGTGGGTTAGGATTGAAACTCTTAAGTTTTGCCGAGTCCCATGTCTTGTGAACACACCAGGCTTCCGTTGCATTGACCAGCTATACCCGCTTTGCAGAAGTTGTCCCCCCAAGGCTTGCCCATGGCAGGTACAAGTCCGAGAGTCGGCCAGCCAGGCTCCATCTTCATCAGAGAAGAAGAGACCGTGGCCAGTGAGGCTGTGCGGCGTTAACGTGTGGGGGGCTCGCCGCTCCCGTTTCCTCGGCTGTTGGAGCTCGTGCCCAGGCCGTGTCCCTCAAACACGGGCCAGGGCCTCTGCAGCCCACACTCTTGTCAGCGGCTCTCTCCCTCTACAAGAGGGCTTCATCTGTCTTCTCTGATTGCTTGCGTGAGGACTGATGGCCAGTCGAGATTTGCGCTTGTCCCGTTGCCCTAGGTGGCGGAAAGCGCAAGATGCAAATCAGAATTGAGCTCTGGTGGTGGTGGTGGTGCTTGCTGTCCGTTGATGAACACAGGTTGCCCACAGGGGCTCTGTGTGGCACGTCGTACGTGTGCACGCGGGTGACACGTGGGTGAGGCGTTAGGGTTTGTGGAGAGGTGTGACACGTCTCTGTCACGGAGATGTCCGTGTGGGCCTCTCCCCTGTGAACCCCAGACACGGCTGCTCACGGGGGAGAAGTGAATGGATCGTGAGGGGACAGAGACAAGACGCTCGCTGCCGGTTCTGAGGCAGACTTCAGTCTGGGCCTGCGGCTTGCGGGGCAGTGACCGTTCTGTGACCTGGTGTTTCACTCCTCCAGCTTCTGCTTCTCTGCACACTGACCGTCACCTGCTGCCCTTGTCACCCTCATAGGACGTGAGTGACCGAATAGAAAAGGAATCCCTGGACGGCCCGATAGTGAAGCAGCTGGAGCGAGGCGGGAGAGCCGTGGTGAAGACGGACTGGAGAGAGAACATCACCGTCCCCCTGCAGACAGGTGACCGTGCCGAGGCCCTGACGGCAGATGTTGGCAGACGCGTTTGACGGGCAGCAGCCGTTTCTAGGAAGTGAACATGGAATTGGCAACTCCAGGCTGTTTGGGCTCCAAATCCCCCTCGCAGGGTTGAGGCTTTTGTGGGTGTGTCCTCTGGGGTTTGGGCACAAATCAGACCTTTACACTGACGTGGGTTTCGCGTGCGTCCCTTAGGGTGACAGGTGAGTGATGGGTGCCCTGCCCTCACTGGTTATTCCTGGTTGTGGGTGCAACCAGGAGGCAGAATTCAGACTGCCACTGCCCTCGGGTTCACTCTGGGGGACACACTCCTGTCAGTCATAAGTATGGCAGAGTTATGTCGTGTCTCGGTCTGATCGCTTAATCCCGGGAACCCCAGCAGTCCTTTCCTTTCGAAATGTGTTGGTTACATTGTAGTCCTTGTCTTTTCCCCTAGATCTGCGTAAATTCAGAACCTATAAAGGTGGCTCTGTCCGCGACCTTCTCCGAGCCATGAGAAACAAGGTAAGGGGGGTGAACCCCAGATGAGGCCAGCAGCCGGGGTACAACCACCCTCCTCCTCCTTTCTGTCCTCTGGGTCCTTCCATTCATACTAGAATCCTGACCTCGCAGAGGCTCTTCTGTGTTGCCTTGGACAGGTTTTCTCTTCAGGGATGTTGTGAGGAGTTCCACTCTGGGAAGCAGGCTCTCTGATGCTGCTGTTGTCTGTGGTGACTTTTGTATGCCCTGTGCCCGCCTGATACAGCGCCGCCGTATAAACTCCCTTAATGGAGACCTTTCCACACGGGCCTGGCCCGCGGGCCACCCTGGTAGGGAAGCTCCCTCCCGCCTTCACAGCACTGGGCCAGGCCCAGCTCTGAGGCCTCCTCCTGAGTGAGGGGAAGCAAGTAAGATAAACAGATGGACTGTTGGGTCCATAAGCCTTTTCTCCTTTCAGAAAACTCGCTAACATCCTGTCTTCCTTGGATAGTAAGAGGGTCTTTTAGCGGTGTTTCCCAGCTTCCCAGCTGCTAACCGCCGTGTCTGTGTGTCCGCCCTGTTTGCAGAAGCACCACTACCGGGAGCTCCCCGCGGAGGTGCGGGAGACGCTGGGCTCTCTCCCCGACGACTTTGTGCGCTACTTCACGTCCCGCTTCCCCCACCTCCTCCCCCACACCTACCGGGCCATGGAGCCCTGCAGCCACGAGAGGCTCTTCCAGCCTTACTACTTCCACGAGCCCCCAGAGCTCCGGCCCCCTGTGACTCCAGACGCCCTTTGAGCCAGGGTGGCCGCCGTTCTGGTGGCCCCAGCTGTGACTGAGGGCCTGGTCTCTACCAGCCCCGAGCCTGATGCCTCCCGGCTTAGCAGGGAGACCAGGCCCCCAAACCAAGTGCCTTGAGCCCGCTCTACAGCCAGCAGAAGATGATGCTCACCCCAGGAAGTGGGGAACACGACCCCCCCGCCTTGGCCTGTAGGATGCTGGGAAGCTGTTGGCCATGAAAGCTTTACGTTCGGGGGTCCTCTGCCGAGGAGGGCCCGTCGCAGAGGCAGCGAAGGAGGCATCCTCCACCTCCTCGTGGACACACGTGCTTCAGATTTACACTTGTTGATAAACTTCCTGTTTGATGTCGGCCTGTGAGGAAGAGAGAGGAGGGAGTGCTATGTTTTGCCTACAGGCAGGACCAGGAGCATCTCTCTCCTCGACAGCTAGGCTGAGACGCACTCAGTGCAGCCTCTGCTCGGAGTGGGGCTCCAGAGGTGAGCGGCGCTAAGGAGGAGGAAGACGTTCAGAGGGTGTCGTTCCCCGGGGATCACAGATGCCTCACTCATCGTGAACGTGCCCAAAGCCTCCCAGGTCACTATAACCAGTGTTCCCTGGGGGCAGCGAAGAGTCTGGAGTGTGGGGCGTGGCATTGGGACAGATCAGCACCACATGCCCCAGTGGCCTTCGGTGGATTTAAGGGGGTGCTTAGGAGCATTTGGGGGCGAGGGGTGGTAAGTTCCCCATCACGAAGAGCAGCACCCAGGCGAGAGCAGGCCAAATAGGACCCTCTCAGCCACCCTGGGAGAGCCCTGGGCCGGCAGGTGGGCAATGAGGTTCCCCCATCCCTGGACCTGGCAGGACGGGCCGGGGTGGGTGCGGAGCCAAGGCCAGGGTCACCACTTGCTTCGTGGGCAGGTTTTTATGTTTCTCCTGGCAGATTTTAATAACTTTCTCTTTTGAACATACTGTAGAATGCTGCGTTAGCATAGGTAAGCTGAACTTGAAGTTTACTCATGAAGAAGCTAAATGCAAGATCTATAGTACACTTTCTCTTTTGTGTGGCACCAGAAGTCTCCATCCCCTCCAGAAAGAGCGTTCGTGTTCAGAACGTGCTCTACTGCTGAGGAGTAAAACATTAGAGCAAGGCTATATACATCCATTAAACAGCTTCGAAGTGATATTCTCTACATTATGTCAATACCATCTTTTTTTGCTAAAACTAGTTTAATTTTTAACTTTAGTTTCAGTCAAAAATTCCTCTGTCTTTTCTCTACCGAGAGCCTTAGCAGTTAAGTGAGATCAGGGTACGAAGTAAGGAGATGTCTCCCGTGTCCTTTATCCAGCCGGGTGAGCACATCATCACGCTGCCTTCAGTGCTGGCGACCGACCTCCGAGACTCCACTCAGGAGTGAGGGTGTACTGAAGGACCGAGAACTCACTGTTTCTTCTGTGACGCGCTTGCTGATGGATTTGTACGAGGGCCTTCTGCCTTCGTAGAATTCAGTTCCCTTTCATAATGCCTGAAGTCACTTTTTTTCTTAAATTAGCATTATCCTGCGTCTTTAAACCTCATCAGTTACCTCACTGATACCTTGGAACCCTGGCGTTTTTGGCTGACATCGTGGTATCTTCTGCCATACTTCCGTTTTTCAGGAACACGGCCAGACGCCTCTCCTCTGCCTGCTCTGATGCACCCGCACCATTGTCTATATGGCTCTGTGGTTGGTCACTTCACAGCCGGGCCTGAGTGGTGATGGCCTGCCAGGCAGTCAGGCAGAGAAGGTGCCACGAGGGACGAACAGGGCCGTCGGCTCTCTGTGCTGCCGGGACCTGGCCTGCTTTGGTCTCGTGGCTGGACAGTGTCCTGGGGGGAGTAGTCAGGTCACTTCTGGCTGCCCAGGGTTTGTGTCCTCTCCCTATCTGGGCCCACCTTGTCTCCAGGACTGCTGTTTTTTAAATGCCTTTTCTCTTTATCGCCTTCATTTCTAACCACCCACCTTTCTCAAACTCCTGTATTCGATGTATTTTATTTTGAGTAGTCACTGTGTGAGCCAGGCAGGATCCTGGGTGCTGGGGATGCAGAGGTAAACAAGATAGGCAAAACCTCTGCTTTTTAAAGAGCGTGGAGTGAGAGAGAAAGTAAGAAAGTAAGCAGAAAGTAAGCACCAGTGCTCCCGGAAAAGCCAGAGGGTGGGCAAGGGCATTCGTTTGCTGTTCACACTTCTTCTTTCTTAAAGCTGCCTGTGACCCAGAACCCATCTGATCTGGTCAAGTCTGCTCCATTGGCCTTCTGTCCGTCGCTTTTTGGAATCTGGTCACTCATCAGTCCCTCGGGTGGTTTGAAGAGGTCTCTCGTGTGGGCACTTGTCGTGGAAACACCTTGGGCATCATCTGCTATATCTTGTTCTAATCTGTAGAATTCTGGTTTCCTGTTGTGCTCAGCGTAGCGGGAAGGTGTCTTTTGCTAGAACAGGGTTTTTCAGCCGTGTGCATCGCGTAGCAGCTGAGCTATTTGATCTTTAGTGTGATTTCTAGAAGGCTGTTTAACTTTTTAGAAGTACGCTACTTTCATTTTTTCCGACAGAATTTAGTCGCGTCTGTTAGGAACCCCAGGGACACTCTCATTAAATCTTGTCTTGAACCTCGCGTTGAATCTGTCTTCGGTGCGCCTGCCAGAATTTCTCCTGTTGCTTCTTGAGTCTTTTTGACTTCAGCGTATAAAGAGCTCACATGTCACTAGGTATCAGAGCACTTGCACTTTTGGGGAATCACTGGTGTCCTTGGTAAGTCACTGAATCATCTAGTGGCTGACATAAAACCCGGGGCGCGGCAGGCTCTCCCTCCCCCTCCCTCTCCATGCCATAGTCATCCTCGGTTCTTTCCGGTGAGACCTCACTCTGGCACATATTAGAAGATCCACAGGTTAGTGGGTCCAGCGAAGTATTTTCTTTCTGCCAACTCTAGAAGAAAGGTGTTTATCTCAGAGTCAACTTTTGGTGAGGTTTCGTGTGAATGTGACTTGTTTCCCATTGCAGTTTCTCTCACTGCCGTGAAAGATGAACCGGCTGCCCCCCTCGCACTTGTGGGGGGGCCTCTGGCCTGTAGGCCTTTCTCCTCTCAGCTGCTGTCTCTTCAGAAGCCGCGCTCTGGCCAGGCCTGGATGTCCCGAGACTGCTTTCATTCTTCAGCCCTGTTCATTGCATCCTTGGCCTTGAAGTCCTCACAGAGGGTAGACTGGGTCTTTGCCCCCCAAGAGCTGGATGAGGAAGCACACAGCACACCTGTAAAGAGTCTTCTAAGTTCTCTTTAGCTTTCTCTCTGCTTGTTTAGTTCCTGAAATCCCTTTTCTTTGTACGTGTCAGTGTCTTTTCCTTGCTGATGCCTTCACCATCCCGGAGCAGTCCTTTCAGTTGAGTGTGGCTTGGCATTGGTCTTTCCTAGGAGAGAGTCACCAGGTGCCCCATACGGATGGGCCCAAATTCCGCCTTCCAAGGTTGGACCATTACCTTTTAAATCAAAGTGTCCCTTCTTCCCATACTTTGTTTCTTTTATGAAACAGTGATTTCCCATGAGTAACCCAGGTTCCCGTTTCTTGTATCAGCGCGTAAACCCTTTCTGTTTTCATTGGACAACCACAAAGAAAGCATCTGCGACGAGCCTACCACTGGAGCAGCCTTAACGCTTCTGGCCAAAGCCCGCACCCCGCTTGCTTCACCCTGTGCTCTCTGTGTGTTCGGCGGGTACAGTATTTCTTTTCAGTATCCCAAAAGCTGTGACGGGGGAGTCCCCACTTACCTAGAAAGCATTACCAGTCAAACATGCGGCATTCTCAGATGCAGACCTTACGTAGTGTTCCTTTTGCAATGACCTATTTATTTAACCTATTTATATTTATTTAATTTTTACTCTGACGTATACCCGGTTACAATTGCACTTGCTTTGAAAGCACATCAGATTTGTTTTGGACAACACACCCCTGACCATTTTAAAACTGGAAAAGTTCTACTGTATCCTTCCACGGAATGGATGCCTCACAGTGGTTTTGTCATTAAAGGGTGAATGATTTGGTCAGGGTAAAAATTTTCATTTTTAAGTGATTTTTTTTTAAAGAAAATTCTGTGCCATTGTGTCTTCTCTGTGGACGGTTGTTTAATGGGTATGTGTTAATTGTGTGATAGAATCCTCTTTGTGAACCTACAATCCTCTTTTTAGCTTTATATTTTATAAACTGCCAGATTGTACAATTTTTATGTGTATTTTTAAAGCTTGATGTGAGGGTAATTATCTAAGTTAAACAGCCTATTTTTGTACCTCCTGTACAGTTTTATAATTCTGCTGATTCATGATGGCGTCTCATGTTGCGCCAATGACAAATAAAGGTAGTTTTAGATCTGGAAGTTGATTTCATCTTCTTAAAGACTTGACCTTGACCCTCAACTTCAGGCAAGGGGTCACTCCCAGCTCTCTTCCTGGGTGTGATGTCTGGGTGGTGAAGGCAAGCGGCTGACTCAGCGGGTAGGGGGACGCGGTTGCCCGCCGGCATCCACGGCAGGGTCCGGGGGGCTGGAACGTCCTCCTTGGAGGCTGCGGGAAAACGTTCTTTGAAACCCTGCAGGGAGTCCCCAAAAGTATTGGTTTGGGCTGAATTCCAGGAAGCTGGCCAGGCTGGGACCAAACTGCCCCATGGCAAGTTTGGGGTGTGTGTACAGTGAATGGGGTACTGGACCGAAAAGCCCGTGAAGGGATTAAAGCCACTGCAGTCACGGCCAGCACAGTGCTGGGAAAGCCATGATCTGAGCGTGTCAGACGCACGTAATCCGTCTACCCACACGCCAGGGAACGAGCCCAGCGGCCAGTCTGGTTGGAACTTTGGATCCTGCCAGCGTGCTTCCTGCTTTCCTCCCCCCATCCCGTCTGGTGAAAGCGGAGGAGGCTCCTCTTTCTCTTGCATTATGGAAAGGGACCTCTCACAATGCACTGGGACTGGCTCCTTCTGCTCTGCCTGCCACCATCCC